TGCTATACACTTCGACACCCCCCAAACAGATGCAAGACCAACCGAAAAGTCTGGTTTTGTATTTTTCAAAAGCCCATCATAACGTTTTAAGACTGAATTTTCCCATTTGCCTGTGGAAGTTATTGCTGCCTTCCAGACATTTCCATCTTAGACATATCAGAGGTACACATATAGAAGAATGGTATCAATTTGGAATTCAAAAAGTTGACGCAAGTCCATTAACGACACCCCAAAGAGCCTGGTTCGCAGATATTTTTTGTGCCAGTATATTTACCAGTTTCCCCCTAGAGTGTTAACCAAAGTAATAGTCTTCAGGGGCTGGAACCGCATGTCCTGAGTCCCCTTGGTCAGAGTTTCTGGAGCACAGCATGAGCGCCCCACACCACCACTGTTACACGCCTACTTCCCCAAACACACTGTAGGAACTTCTGTAACGCAGGGAATAGATGAAACATCATCCTAAAATGCCTATTTTGAACACCAATGAGGGTGGTGATGAAATTGACACAGATTAATTAGAAATTTGCAAATATTTGTGATGTTTGATGAATAGTCCTAGGGAGATATTAAGGAGACATCTGTGGGGAAGGTATTCAGACACAGCATGATCTTACACTTCCTTCACTCATTAAAATGCTTTTCCAACAAAAAGGACTACAGTAAGATGTTTTAAATGATACATGAACATTAAGAGTCTGTTGACTTAGGTCAATAATGGGGCCATTTTAGAAATAGAAGACAGAAGAGATTTTTCTAGAATCTAGCTGTGTTCCTCCCCAGACTCTGCCATGGGTCTACAGAGAGGAACAGGGTGAAGACAGAGCGTAGGAGAAGTGGTTCAGCTCCAATCCAACAGCTAGCTGCACCTGTGCCCACAGGTGGCTCAGCAGATGTTCTCCTTAGCAAAGGTCCCTTGCTGGAGTTTATCTGATACAAGCCCTGAAATGCGGTCCCTTAAGCAATGGAAAATGTCAGATCCTGGATGGGGTAACCAGTTAAGTGGAAAAGAACTCGGTTGGAGAAGTCAGTTAAACCAAACGCAGAGAGAAATGTCTTAATGTGCTAAGAGCTGGGATAACGATGAGCAAAGGGGAAGAGAGCTAACATGTTCCACATGCCTACTTTTCGCTGGATATTCTAAAGTGTTTACCAAATAGTGCACCTCACTTCACCCTCACAAAATTGCCAGAGGGTGGTTAACTCCAAAATCCCCACCTTGGCGCTGCCCCCACGCTCTATCTCCTCACTCAGCTTGATTCTCCTTCATCGCAATTGTACTGGGTTGAATAGTGCCCCCCCCAAATTCATGTCCACCAGAACCTCACAACGTGACCTTATTTGGAAATAGGGTCTTGATGGATGTAATTAGTTAAAATGAGGTTATACCTGATTGGGGTGGGGGGCTAAATGCAATATGACTGGTGTCCTTATAAGAAGAGGAGAGGACACCTGGGGATACACACACAGGGAGACGCAGTGTGACCACAGACGCAGAGACTGGAGCGATGCAGCTTCAGGGACAAGGAATGCCTTAGATCACAGGCGACCACCGGAAGCTAGAAAGAGGCTAGAAGGCTACTTCTCTGGAGCCTGCAGAAGTACAGCCCCTGCTGACACATTGACTTTGGACTTTTAGCTTCCAGGACTTCTCTCTTTGAGAGAACAAATCTCTACTTCTTAAGCCATGCCAGTTTGTGGTATTTTGTCACAGCAGCCCAAGGAAACAGATGCAGCATCTGTCACTACCTGACATATATATTTTCTATTGACTGGTTTCTCTCTCTCTTTCCCCGCTGGGACATAGTCTTTAAGATAGGGCCTTTGTTGTTCACTGCTGTGTTTCCAGTGCCCGGAGCATTAGGCCATTTGCTGGCTTTGGAATGGAAAGGAATGACAAGCCTGGGAATGGGGGCAGCCCTCTAGAAGCTCGAAGAGGCAAGGAAATGATACTCCGCTAGAGGCTCCAAAAAAAAGAAAAAAAAAAAAAACACAGCACTGCCAACACCTGGATTTCAGGACTTGTGACCACCCAATGTAGGATACTAAATTTGTATTTTAAGCCATGAAATTAGTGATGATTTATTGTGGCAATAGAAGAAATTAATACATATTGTTACCTACAATGTGTTCTTTGTTCTCTTTCTCACCCTTGGTGGATCTCTCCATAACCGGTGGCCAAGGGAAGGGTCAGTTACATGCACATGGATAACCCACCCAACCTAGAGACCTAAGATTGCAAATAGGCTGTTAGTGATTAGCAGCAAAGAAAAATATTACAAATGTCAATGCCTTTGCCTCAATGTAAGAGCTGAGTGCCAACAAATTTCCAATAATAGAATTCAGTGTTCTCTAAACTCTTGAAAATAAAATAATTTTTAAAAAGTAACTCCAAACCATGAATAAAGATCATGGAATGGAACATTTTCTTCCTTCCTGACATAGAAACCAAACCACTTAATGATATCCTTACACGGGTATCTACTAAGAGAAAGGGGGAGAGGGATACAAAAGGGGAAAATTCAGCATGTTTACCAAAAGAAACTTATGAAATATTAAATAATCGTGGTTTGGTTTGCTGTAATATGTTTGAAAATATTTTTTAATGAGCCCCCCTCAATCCCCCCACTTAGTTGTTGAGGTATAATGAGAGGAGTCCTTGTTTATTGAAGAGAAAGTTGAGAGTTTGAATGAGTAAAGAGCAACTCCTTTTGCAGGAAAATTTATCTTTTCATTATTTTGTAATTTGTATTTTATTCAATTGTTTATTTTAATTTTTATTTGCAGGAAATGTTAATGAGCAGGGGCCTGGGGATCTTATCCAAGGCTCCTGATTGCAAGTTTAATGCTCTTTACTTCATGTGTCACTGCTGATTACAAAGGACAAACAAACGTGCATGGACATTGCCCCCAGACTGGGAATACAGCTAGTTGGTCCCGGTCTGCTCTTCCTCCCACCAAGAACCCACCAGAGCTTAGGAAAGGGAAATTACCTCCTCTAAACCCCTCAGCTCCTGCATTTGAAAAGTGGTCATTAGAACACCTACCTTAGAGAAACTGTAAAGAGTCGATTAAATACATGTGCAAAACACTTAGCCTGAGGGCAAATCCTAAAAAAATAATAACTGCTACTATGATTGTTCAATCACCATTTGATCTAGTGCCTGGAAGTTTATCATTAGAGAGGATTCATTTGGCTATTGACTTGATTTTTGGAAACCAAAATACCCTAGCAGGGGTTACACACCAAGTCATGATCAGGAACTCACATCTGAGTGTGAATTCTTTTTTCAGATGGGAGTGAGAAGAAAAGAAGCACAAAGTAACTGAGGCAGCAGAGCAGAAGCGAGTGCAGAAGCTAAAACCTGTTTAGTTTCAGAAGCACCTTTATGCATGACCTTGCCGCGGATTAGCCAGGTGATTCTGGGCCATTTATGGACATGTCCTGAGCCATAGTTTCCTCATCTGTGAAATGGGAATGCTGTATTTTAAGTGATTATTGAACCAGGTGCGTGGCTCACACGTGTAATCCCAGCACTTGGGGAGGCTGATTCTGAGAGGATGGAGGGGATGGCTGGAGCCCAGGAGTTTGAGATTGCTGTGAGCTGTGACAGTGCCACTGTGATAGTGTCACTCTAGCCTGGGTGACAGAGTGAGACCCTGACTCTAAAAACTAGCTAAATAATTTTTAAAATAATAAGATAAAAAATGGTTACTGAGCAAATCAAATGAGATAACATGTGAACATGCTTTGTAAACTACAAAGAGCTATATGAAAGCTTTGAATAACATTACTTTGGGGTTTAGATGAATTTTTGAAACCTATATAACAGTATATTCTAAGTGCTAAATTATTCACTGCTAATATATAAAAGCATTTACAATTTATTATTATACATTATTATAGTAAAATTACAATTTTTGTTATACATGTGAGTCAGATTGAACTCATTTTTCTCTTTGGTGGTATTACTCTGAAAATTGTAATTTCAGAGTATTACAATTGAGCACTGAATTCATTTGTAACTCAGTTGGATTCTGAAAAAAAAAAAAAGAACTACATTTACAGGAAAAATAGTTAAAGAATTGGAGAATAAGAAAAGCATAGATAAATGTGCATCTAATTACTCCTGTGCTTGAACTGTCAAAATACCCACTCCCCATTTCTCTATGTTGGGATAAGGACTAGAAACCAGTAATCAAATATACTTAGAGCAGAGAGTATTAGAAAAAAAAGCTTGGGAAAGAATTTACTTTAACCCTTTGCACTCGCTTGCTTTTTTCTTGATTCCTTTATTCTACTCGGGATTTAATTTTTTAAATACCCCAGATTTTACAAAGTGCGACAGTAGAATAAAAAACTGGAGTTTCTTTTCATACAAACTTATTTATTTGGATTTTTTTATATTTCAAATTATTGATACATTCAAAGAGTAATTTTAATCTCTATAATTTTTGCTAACCGTGTCGAGTCACACTCGACATCCGAGTGCAAAGGGTTAAAACAATCTTTCTAGGTTGTTTCAGCAAGTAATGTGAGCTACCAATATGTTTTATTTTATAGAAAAATGGATGATTAAATTCCCAACATGCACACTTATGTATTCAGATACATCAATTCATTCAGAGGAACATTTAATTTTAGCATGAATTCAAAGAGGATGAAAGCTGCTTAGAAAGGAATTACGGGGACACACCTTAATTAGATGTCCCGATCAACTATCTTCCATTTTTTCCATGTTCCCTGAAATGAAGTCAAAAGCACAGTTACAAACTGGAAGTTACAGCATCTTTGCTTTTGGGGGACTGCAAATGAGAATTGTGCAACAGCTCACCATTAAGCGAATTAATAATGCCCTAGTAAATGTAACGGGGGCACAATGAGGTCGGATCAATTTTTCTGCAGCCTGCTTTGGAAATAGACTTGCTTGTGAACAGCAGGAAACCTTGTCATTAATGAATGCTTTTCTTTACTTTCTTTCCTTTGGCTACAGCTAATTTGAATAACAATGCCATTTTGAAATCACTAAATGAAGGACATACATATTTGAGGAAATAATAATCCCCTTCCCCCTACCCCACTCCCAAGTCAACCAAAAAATCTCTATTAGCGCACTACAGCAGCTTCGTGCAAAGACCTGAAAGCCTTTTGATTTTCTGCTTGGCTGACTGACCAGACGTGATGAGGATCTGGACAAGCAAGACAGTTGTCCAAATGTGATGCTTGTGCGTTTTCTCGGGGCCATCGAGGGCTGAGTAACTACAGAATGTAACTTCAGCAGAGAAGCTCAAGTGCTAAGAGCTCATTTTGTACAAGAGCCTACAGCAAAGAATAGGAAAGAATTCATGACTGATATATTTTGGGTCTCTAAAGTAGTCTAAGAAAGGACTGGTAAGTCTTCCTTGTTTACGTTAGAAACAAACTGCTTGATTATAGGAATCTCTTCTATGATATTTTATTGCACTTAGGAAAAAATTTACCTTATCCTCACTTTGTATGATGCTATTCATACAATAAGGAAAGACTAAAGAGAGATCAATAAACAATAACAAAAACATTATTTACAACTGCCTATACTGTTAAAAGGAAAAGCAAATAGTGTAAGATATTTGCCCTTTGCCCTTTTAACTATGGCCCAGAAGGTACTCCAAAAATCATACAAATATGTGAATATGGCCACCCCATTCACTTCCCAATCACATCTTTTATTTTAACGACTTCATGTTTGTGTAGTTCCTTTCCCTGGAACAGTTTGCATGAAAGAATGTTTCCCAATTTCCTGGTATAAAGTGGGTAAGATAGACTAGAGAGACACAAAGTCTCTGATCTTGAACATGGCCAAGTAATTAAAAGTTCTGCACCCCTTGAGGAAACCAGCTCATTGGTAGAAGTGAATAAGCTATTCTTAGCACATGAGGACAAATATCAGATTTGGAAGGATTGCTTATTAAGTGGCAGTCCTGTCCATGTGTGGGGAGAAAAATCCACTATTTTTCTTTTTTGGAAGGTCATCTCCAATGTTGAGTATATATTTTGGTTTGTGGTGTATTGATGTTTTAAAAAATGTTTACCCGTGTTTTCAAAGATGTTATACATACACATAACACCAAATATAAAAGATACAAAAGGATTTACAGGGAAAAGTCCCCATCCTATTCCCATTCTCCAGCAAAAACTATTGTTATAAATTTCTTGTGTTGCCTTCCAGAAAAATTTCTATGTACATACCAGCAATTACATACTGTCCCATTATTTTTGTTTTCACTTATCTCTTTATCTTGGGTATGGTTTCATACCTGTACATACAAATGGACTTTGGTATATTTAACATGCTGCTGAAGAACATTCTATAAATGTAAACTCTGAGGTTTTTTTTTTTTAACAAGTTTAAGATATAATTTATAAATCATAAAATTCACCCATTTTGTGTACAGTTTTGACTTTTAGTGAATTTACTGACTTGTGCAACTATCATAATTCAGTTTTTTAAATATTTCCATCATCCCAGTAAGATTCCTCATGGCTGTTTATAGTTAATCCCCATTCCTATTCCCATGCCCAGGAATCACTAAGCTACTTTCTGTCTCTGTAGGTTTGCCTTCCCTGGCTATATCATAAGTGGAACCATACAGTCTGTGGTCTTTGTAATGGGCTTCCTCCACTTAGCATAATGCGTTTATGATTCATCCATGTCATATTTTTGTCAGTAGTTTGTTCCTTTTGATGGCTGAGTAATATTCCATTGTGTGGCTATACCACATATTGTTTATCTATTCACAGGTAACAGACATTTGAGTTGTGTCCAGGCTGGGGCCACTATGAACAATGCTGCTATGAATACCAGTGTGTGAGTTCTTGCGTGGACATATTTTCATTTCTCCTGGGTGGAAACCAAGGAGTGCAATGGCCAGATCATATAGCAGGGGTAAGTTTATCTTTTCAAAGAACTGCCAAACTGTTTTCCAAAGTGGCTACACCATTTTGCATTCTCTTTGGCAATGAATAAGAATTTACTGGGGTCTTCAAGTTGGCTACTAGAGTAAGCTTTGCCTTAAGTTGGCACTGGGTCCCATTATGGATTGAATTGTGTTCCCCCCAAAAGATTTAAAGTCGTAACTCACAATACCTGTGAACATAACCTTATTTGGAAATAGGGTCTTTGCATGTGATCCAGATAAGATGAGGTCATCAGAGTGTGCTCTAATCCAATATGACTGTGTCCTTATAAAAACCCAACCCTGCCTTGATCTTGGACTGCTAGCCTCCAGAACTGTGAGACAATACGTTTCTGTTGTTTAAAACACCCAGTTGATGATACTGGGTTATGGCAGCACTAGCAAATTAATATAGATCCTCAACTCTATGGCTATAAGTCACAGGGTATTTAAACAAATCCATTTCTTATCAGAACAGTAAATAATGTATATCTTTTAAGGAATCACTGTTAGGAAAAACTAACAGTGAGACTGTCCTTTAAAGACCATTTCCTTTTACCCAGTAACTATAGAGCTGTCTGACCTATGGCCAGCCTTATTTTATGAATTGTCTCTTTGTAGACCCTGAAAATGCCGGGGCCTAAAGTGTAATTACACCATAGGGGCTGCTGGTGTAGAGCAAGTTATGTAAAGAAATGCTCTCATTAGCCTACTTATCAAGGAAGAAAGTAGAAATTTAAGTCATTTAAGTTTTTAAGATACTTTTCTTTAGTTCTGCCGTGGAATGACCAAACCCTCAATTATCATTTATTTTTCCTTTTACTGTGCATTTGTATAGGTATAATATGAAGGAAAACTCTTTTTTTTTTCTTTTTCTTTGTGTAAGTTTATGGGGTACATGTGAAATTTCGTTCCACATTTATAATGTGTACTGATCAAGTCAGAGTATTTAGAGTGTCCATCACTCAAGTACGATACGTTTTTGATAAGTATAGTCACCCTACTCTGCTATCAAACATTGAATGTATTTGAAGGAAAACTCTTATTTTTCTTATAGCATGTCTGAGAATACACCGGTGCCGGGTGTGTATTCTGTTTGCCTCTCCACATCTGACCTGTGGGACTGTACCAACTGGCCCCTTCTTGGCTGCCTCTGGCTGGGTTCGCTAATGGGAGCACTGGCAGGGGACCAGAGAACAGGGCAAGTGGGGTCAGGGTCCTTGTTCCCCTTTTCTCAGGCTACTGCAGGTTGGCTGTGCCCATGAAAGCCTGCCCTCTTTTTGGGTTCTGGTAACTACGCTCTGCCTTTGTCTCATCAGAACTTGGGGTCTTAGGTGAAGGTATTAAATAATAGTTGTCTATTACCATCAAACTTAGTGGCTTAAAACAACATACATTTATTATCTCACAGTTTCTGTGTGTCAATAGTCTGGGGCATGACTTAGTTGGATAGTCTGCTCAGGGTCTCACAAAGACCCTGTAACTGAGGTGCTAGCCAGACTATGTTCCTTTTGGGAGCTTGGGGCTCTCTTCTGAGCTCACATGGTCATTGGCAGAATTCGATCTCTTGCAGTCATGAGACACAGGTCCCTGTTCTCTTGCTGGCTGTCAGCCAAGGACCACTCTCAGCTCAGAAGTCACCCATGGTTTCCTGCTACAATAACATCTCATAACCTGACAGCTCACTTCTCCGAGGCCAGCAGGAGAATCTCTCACTCCAGTCTGCTAAGAGAGCGTCTTCCATAATGTAACGCAATCACAGAAGTGATAGCCCATCACCCCTGCCTTATTCTATTGGCTAGCAACAATTCACAAGTTCCAGCTGTATTTAAGGGCAGGAGATTATACAAGGGTGTGACTCTTCGCAGGTGATCTTAGAATTCTGTCTCCTGTAGTCAGTTAGTCCACTGTTTCTAGCCCTCAAATTGTTTTCCCTAAACCCTGCCTATGCCTTTAAATGTCCCCTCAATTAAATTCCCCTCAAATTACCCATTGGAGTGTTCCATCTGTTCCTGCCAGGACCCTTACTGATAAAATCCCTCTGCAAGTGACCTGCTTTGATAATGTGTTTTCCTGAGTCGTCTTTGAGTCCAGGCCAGCTGGTGGCTGGACTTGAGAGAGCTGAGACTGAGTGAGCTGGTTAGCATAGCACAGGGAAAGGTGGCATGATTTCCACTTGGCCGGAGCCAGGGAGAGTGAATGAAGAGGGAGCAAGTCTCCACAGCCAGGGACCAAGGAGAGAGACTCGGGAACAGATGACGAATTCGAATCTTTGGAGTGAAATGCTGAGTGGCATGCAATGTAAACCCTCTCACAGTCTATAGAATTTACACTGTGCACTCCAGCCTCATGTTGGCATCTTCTCCCGGGGGAAACAAAAGGAAGAACAGAGTCCTGCTTTGAAGCTGGTTTGGAGCATGAACAAAGAACGCCTGTACCCAGCCATATCCGGGGTCTCTGTGGCACCTGATCCCCCGTAATAACATTTGGAAGCCACATGGTTTCTTTTCAGCACTTTGAACACTCAGCTTTTTATTGTCTTTTTCCTTTTAAAAAATTGAAACCAAACTTTCCATTTTAAAAATTATTTCACTTTAGAATATTTACCTTCATATTTTTTAAAGAAAATTTGCTTGTTAAAAAGTACATATGTTCCTAGACCACTGGCCACAATGCATAGAGACCCTGTCTGAAGCTTAAAAATTTGCTCTATTACTTAGCATTGCACATTTGTGATTATTTCATTAACTGTAACACACAATCAACCTGTGATCTATCTTCAATGGATCCAAGGCCAGAAAAGCAAAACTACTAAACTAAAAGCAAAAAACAAAAAAAGCAGCCCAAATAAGGTGATGGTTTACCTCTTGCGATGTTACATTTATTTGTGTATATGAGAGACAGGAAAGCCTTGCCTTAAATTCCACTCAATTGCATCCTGAAGATAGTCACATAAGTCATCACGGCCGTTCTCGGAGACAGCATGGAACAGTGGTTCCAAAAAAATATGATCCTGAGACCAGCATCGCCACATCACCTAGAGCACTTGTGGAAAATCCAAATGCTTGGACCCCAAACTAGACCTGCCGAATCAGAAACTCTGGACATAGGACCCAGCAATGGTTTAACAAGCCTTCCCAGTGATTCTAATATACTCTATAGGTTGCTAATCACTGACTAGAAACAGAGGGATTAGTATTTAGTGACTTTCACCTATGTGTTTAAGGGTAGGGCTCTTTAAAAAGAAAAAGAAAGACCAGGTGATGTGGCTCACCTCTGTAATCTTAGCACTCTGGGAGACCTAGGTGGGAGGATCACTTGAGGTCAGGAGTTCAAGATCAGCCTGAGGAAGATTGAGAACCACCCCCTCCCCAACTCTACTAAAAATAGAAAAATTAGCCACGTGTGGTGGTGTGCACCTGTAGTCCTAGCTACTTGGGAGGCTGAGGCAGGAGAATCGCTTAAGCCCAGGAGTTAAGCAGAAGGATTGCTTAAGCCCTCTCTACTCCTTTCCTTTGAGGTTGCTGTGAGCTAGGCGGATGTCATGGTACTGTGGCCCAAGTGACAGAGCAAGACTCTGTCTCAAATAAATAAATAAATAAGAAGAGAAAGACAGAAATATCAGTACCTTGAAAAGTAAGGTTCCTTGCTCCTGGCCACCTGGGATGCCAGGTAGGAAAGCCTGTCGCAGGAGCTGCCTGTAGGTTACTGGGTAACACTACCTCTTCTCTACACCAAACCTTTCCTTTGAGCTTATTCTAGTATTTGGATTGAGCACTTTTAGTCCAGCAGGTACAGATATTGGACAGCTCATTGTCCAGGGATGGCTTAAGATTTTTGAAACTATTTTTCAAAGACATCTTTTAAAATGACCATTTGGGTTTTTTCTTTTTAATTATTGTACTTTAGAAACTAGAGGTTGAGAGAGATGCCCTTTCATAATCCATCCCAATTTAGAATTCCATAAAGTTCAAATGCTACTCTAAAACATGCTTGAAATACCATGACTTTAAAAAAATCAAATTAACTAGCAGTGTAATGTTTTCTGTTTGAAACATTTCTCATAATCGTTTCCAGTTATTGCTTCTAACTTCTCTTTTGCCAGTTCTTTCCCACAGGAAGGGGATAAAAAATTCATACATCATTTGTTCATCTATCCATGCATTTGTTGTGTTAACTTTAGCTGAGGATGAACAATGTGGCAGGAATAGAGCTAGGTGATGGGTATAAAAGGAGCTTCCAACCCAGTAAAAGAGACAGATCACTGCGGAACAGTGTCAGGATGTAACCACTGGAACAGGCCTAATGGGTCCCAGGAGCACAGAGCAATGACCTTGAAGATAGAGCCAGGAAAGGCTTCAAGGATGATGTGAGTAGGAGTTGGGGAATGGGAGAGGGAGGGAAGGCACAGAGGTCAGAAAAGGCTTGGCAAATGTGAGGGGATGGCTGCAGTCCAAAATTTCTAGAAGATAAGGTCAGATGCAGGGGATGTCAACAGATGGGGTGTGGAGGGACCTGATCAATGAAGGAGCTGTAGGTGGGCAGCGACCAAAGAACTGAAAACAGGAAGGATATGATTATATTTGCATTTAAGGATTATCTCTCTGGCAGCTGAGGAAGGAATTAGGGACTGATAGCACTGAGCAAGAGAGACTACTGAGGATGCTGACAGGTGGTCCAGGAGAGAATGCTGTAGTCTTGGACTGGGACATTGGCAATGAGGATGGAGAAAACTGGATCAACTTGAGAAATGCCCAAGGGGCTAAATGGGCAGTGCTGAGTGACTACTTAGATGTTGATGATGAAGGATACGAAGGAGCTTAGAATAGTGACAGGTGGTGCTACCATCCCTGATTGAGAATATAGGAGGAAGAGAGTTTAGATTCTGTTTTGGTACATGTGTGATGTTTATTTCTCTATCCATCTAGTAGGCAAGCCTTTTTTTAGGGAGGAAAATAAAAGTTCTAGAGAAACAGATTTGGGAGTTATC